TGGCGTGCGCTGAGCTGCACATGGCAAGGCTAATGAAATCTGTAGCACTTACAACTATGAATATGTAGCTGGCAGCAGGCAGGGTGTAGAGCAGGGGGGGAGAGCTGACATATAGATCTGAGAGCCAGAATGCAGCTGCGGAGCCCTCCGCAACGTGTCTGTCTTTTCATCTCTCAAAATCTGATCCCACAGGATGCCAGCCTCCACAGAGGGGAGAGGTGGGACGAAGTGCCCTCCCTCCCCACTGATTTCCAGCACTGCCGAAGTTACCCACTCATTCTGTCACAGTGGGATGGACAGGCAGTTTGAGGCAGGAGCGTCAGACTGCGCTCCTGCTTCTGGCCAGTAATGCCCCAAACACAGAGAGTTGTGTGTCAGACTCGATTCAAAGGATTAGTGTTTCTGAGGTGCTCTTTGGATATTGCATTGATGTCTACTTGCCAGGCAGGGCAGTGGTGTCCAACAGAGGGGAGACCCAGTTTTTTTATTGCATGGATAAATGTGAGAAATTACTGATCATACCTGGAGCTGGAAGGTGAAGGTCTTAATAATCTGTGTCTCTTAGGGTTTGGGGTCAAAGGAGCCTAATGACTGATTTGGATTTAATATCCCTGAAGTTGGAGGCTGTCGGCTGCCCCCCCTTGGGTGGTTGCTCGATGTAATAAGGCAAATGACTGGGTAGCCCCAGCCTTTGCTCCTGGTCACGAATGCCGGTGTGAGTTTGTTAGCAGCTGCAGAAGGGTCAGAGACCATGGAGGGTGAGGGACCAGACTTTGAAAGTATTTCAGAAACCTGAAAATGTCATCAGCTACCTCATGAGACTGCAAGAAGTGCCTGGTTTCTGAAGGCAGTGAAAGCCCCGCTGTTTGCATAGCCAGGTGCTGCAGTGGTTTGTGACCCTGGCCCCAGCTTCTCTGCACCCCAAGACTCAGTCCTGGGTGGTGGGACACAGCCTACAATTATGGTGTGGAGGGAGGCTTGTGTTGCTGGTTTTACCTTCGCTGCAGTGAACTCCGGATAAATAAAGGAGGTCAGCCCCTCAAGCTGTAATGCTGTATCCTCTAATAAGTTCTAAATTTATTAGATGAAATAAATAGAAAAATACTGTTTTGGGAGATACAGTGAGGTTTAAAGTGCCTTGCAGAGAGACGCTGGGGTTCTGCATGAAAAAATGCACATCCTGAGCTCCAGTGAGCAATCCCTTCAGGACAAGAGCAAGCCCAGATGGTGACTCCTCCAAGTGATTATTTTTCTGCCTTGAGCCTTTCCAGGAATTCGAGTGTGGGCAGACTGCCAGCGGACATTGGCTGTCCAGACATTTTAGCAATGTTCCATGTGTGCTGGCTGCCAGAGATACCAAAGTCCAGCTGCTGTCCCTGATCTCTTTGTCCCCTTTACCTTCCCAGCCATAATTGCACAGGCGTGCACGCACGCACTCGCGTGGCGTGCACACACGTACAAAGCGGGAGCAAAGAAGTCACCTGGTGTTTTCTGCTCGTTTGCATGCCTCGTGAGTCCTGATCGACAGCTCTGAAGTTAAAGGGAAAGGAAATCTCGAGAGTCAGAAAAATGACTTGGATCCAAAAGGGAAAAAAACCAAGCGTACAAATAACAAGCCCTGCGGCACACTGCAGAAGGCAGGCGCTCGTCTTTCTAGGACAGACAGCAAAGAACAGTTTAACCAGGTCTTGTACCTCTTGCCTTTGAGAAGCTCTGTTTGGGTTGTCTTCCTTTCATTGCTTCCCGAGCAAAATCAGTCCTGTCTTATCTTTCCTGTTGCTAGAGCGTGAATTATGCTGAAAACTTGCCATTTTGCTTTTAAGTCTTGAAGTAGAAGTAGGCTGTTTTATGCTTTTTTGCAAATTCAGTCCTGTGTCTGTTGGAGTTCAAAGTCACACCGTGAAGCACTTAGGCTTGGAAAAGTGGGGCAGCCTTCACCGCTCTATGGCTGTCTCATCCCTTGTCTCCTTTAAGCTTGTTCGTTCCTCCTGTGCTCTCCAGGAGATTTTGGGGAGCCCTTTTGTTACCAGTGATGAATTCAGCCATATGAAAGATTTACACACACACTAAAAAAACCCCAAAAGATTTAGTATTTGGTATTTCTGAAGGGTGTTAGCTTTGACTTTGGAGGCTACCCAAAACTCAGTGGTCCAATGCAGTTTAGCAGAACAAAACCTTTGCTTCAGCTCCTGCAGCGTGAAACTTCACCTGGTTTCATACAGCTTCGTAGTAGTATTTTTGATGCGGAGAAGCTGAACCCAGAAGCCTCGGGCTTTTGGAATGACTGGTTTGGGAAGCCTGGTTTATCTGTCACAGCAAAAGAGACTGGCCTTATTCAGTCCCATGTATGAGCTCTCTGCTCTGTTGGAGGCAAAGGGGCCAGCCCTCTGCTCCCAGCTTTTCCCCATGGGAGTTGATTTAAATTCTGGGTTTGCAGCTCACGTCCATCTCCATGAGAGATCGAGGGACGGTCCCAGCCCAGCACAAGCTCCCCATGGCAAGGGGAGCGGGATGGGTGCCCCATATCAAGGGCGTCCCCCCGCGGCGTCCCCGGGCAGCTGCCTCAGCCAGGAGCTGCTGACTTACCTGCCAAAGCCAACTGCCCAGGGCAGAAGGCTACAGTGAGCTAAAGTTAACCAAGGATGACTGCGCAAATGTGAGCTCGGCGATTTTATTTTTAGTCGAACTTAAAAATAAAAATCTGTAAGTCATGTGTAATATAATAATTTTAGCTGTTGCCAAGACACACTGAGCAACTGTTAGGAGGAAGGGGAAGACCTGTGCTGAAATAGCAAGGGCCCTGTCTCCTGGCTGCCCTTGTCCGGCTGTGGTCGCAGTACTGGCGAGTTGGAGCAAGTCGGGATAGCGGTGCTGAGCTGCCCCTGAGCCGCTGTGCTCAAGGCATCACTGGCCCTCGCTCTTTTGAAGCAGCCCTTGAGTCCTTTCATCCCCCCCCTCCCCCCCAACTCACGTCAAAGCCAGGGAATTCACCCTGAAATTGCTACTTCTCCCCCCGGCTCTGTGGCTATTGGTGTTTCATTAGTGTTTATCAATATTTAAACAACAGAATATTTAACTTAAGACTGATTGTATCAAGCCATGAGAAGGTTTGGACTTTTCCTGCAGGCTTACAGCAGCTTGGAGGACCATAAACGTAAAGAGTGCTCTTAAAGATAGGTTTAATCTTAGTCTAGTATGTCTTCAAAGTACTGTGTATGCATATAAACATCAGGCTTATTGTTCATTAGAAGCGAGGCAGCGGGGAAAGAAATCCCCCAAAGGGATATTACTTGCCATAAGATAAGTATCATTACTGCTGCTCAGCATTCACTTTAAAGTGGGCTATATCCTATTTCCATCTTCTTTCATATTCACTCCTAATTCTTTTTCTCTCCATTTTTCTTTCATATAATGCACGCTTTTCTTGTTAGGATGCCAGTTGTGTGAGGCGCACAGTTTCTCAGCGCCCATTCTTGCATATTTTTCACAGCAGCCAGAAATGCAGATGACAAGTGGGGGCTGGAGAGGGACTGGGGTAGAGTTTCACTCTTCATAAAGTTTGTTATGGGACAGGGCAAGGCAGTTTTCTGGAACGTAGGGGGAGACTGTCAGCTCCTTTTGCTTCTTTCCAAAGCATGATGTGTTTTAGTTACAGTATTTTCCTTAGCAGATAATTATTTAGAAAGAATTCATTGCTTTTGAGTGGCTGAAGTCACCAAATTACGTGATGCAGAGCAGAGAAAGCAACTGTTTTGCTCCAATAGCAAAAGTAGCCCAGTATAAAACTGTGGGCTGTAACAGTGATGAGGGCTCCTGGTTTGGATCAGAAAGAGCCAAACGTGCTTTTCTGAGAGGTCCTGGTGAGACATCTCCAGGGCTGAGTTTGCTCAGCGTTTGGACGTGTGGCTGTGGATGTGAGTGCGGTACCCACAGCCTCCCTGCTCCAGCAGTCACTAAGAAATGAGGGGTCTGCTGGAGATGGAGATGCTGCGGGTGCCTGGCTCTGCCCAGCCTGTGCATGGTATGGGGCATCTCCCAGGGCAGATCCGTGCCCGGGCACCTGGGCAGGAGGTGTCAGTAACAGAGGGAGCACTGGGGATAAAAAAACCCTACACATTAGAAGCCTGGCTGAGAGCCACCCCTGGCTCTGGGCTGCTGCTGTAAATAGACCGCGTGGCCGAGCTTCATTGCCAGACTGGTAGATGAAGAGCACGTGTGCCCGTCAGGAGCCGTGGCATGGGGGGGCACAGGGAGTAGCTGCTGCCTGGGGTGATGTGAAGTCACCCCGAGGGCGACTCTTGGGTGCAAGGGTTCAGGAGTGACCCGCCACCTTCCCTCCACCTACTAATACTTACTTGTTGCTAATGTAAATATTTTGTGTGCACATGTTCCTTGGGCCTCCCTGCTGCAGTCCCGTGCTTTTTAGGACAAGGCAGGGTAAAGGCAACGTCACTGTGGGGGAAGGAGCAGCTGGAAGAGTGAACTGGGCACCTTAGAGGCATGGAGGGTTTCCCAGAGGAAGGAGAAAGCAAGCCTTGGGCCATGAGTGACCGCTGCTAAATGTGGCAAGTTATGGCCAGAGAGTTTCTGATCTGCCTAAGTTTTAATTGTTTTCCTGATGCATAAGCAGACAGGCCCAGGATTTTCACTGCTGTTTACGGTAAAGCACAGCTGTCAACTACTCCTTGACAGGAGCGCAGCAATGTCTTGACTTTTTTTTTTCCAGAGGTTTTTCTTTTTCTCGCTCACTGTTTCGGGGTGTCTGCTCATTTGTTCTCATTTCTCAGCACTGATGAGACTGATGTGACTCCCCCCTCCTTTGCCCACTCTCTCGTTGCAGAATCCAGAGGAGCTGTCGGAGGATCGTGCTCACGGGGAGATGATTCCTCATGAAGTCACTGGATCCCTTGCAGAAATCAAATGTGACTTTCCATTTATCAGACTGAAATCGGAGCCAGCCAGACAGTGAAGCAAGCACAGTGGAGGGGGGACGGCGAAAGATGAAATCCAACCAAGAGCGGAGCAATGAATGCCTGCCACCTAAGAAGCGAGAAATCCCTGCCACCAGCCTGCCTTCAGAGGTGAAGCCGGTCCTGCCAAATGAAAACCACCGTGCAGATAACCTAGCATGGCTCCCCAGCACACCCAGTGGCCAGAGTGGCCTGGGGGGCCGGCATCGACCAGGGGGGATGTCGTCAGTGGAGGCGGGCTTGCAGCAGGGTTTGCACAAGTCGCTGTCTGCAGGGCTGGACTATTCCCCGCCGAGCGCACCCAGGTCCGTTCCAGCCTCCACCACCCTTCCCACGGTGTACTCGCCCGCCCTCTCCCAGTCAGGGACCCCCGTTTCCCCCGTGCAGTACACGCACCTGCAGCACACCTTCCAGTTCGTCGGGCCCCAGTACAGCGGATCGTACACCGGATTCATCCCCTCACAGCTGATTTCCCCAACGGCCAACTCTGCGACTGTGGCGGCGGCCACGGCCGTTGCAACCACTCCATCCCAGCGCTCCCAGCTGGAGGCTTATTCCACTTTGCTGGCCAGCATGAGTGGCTTAAGCCAACAGGGGCACAAAGTTGAGCCACACCTGGTCAGGACGCCTGGACTGATCGCCGCCGGGTCTCCTCCACCCACCCAGCAGAACCAGTACGTCCACATTTCCAGCTCTTCCCAGAGCGCTGTCAGAAATGTCTCTCCTCCAACCATCCCGGTTCCCCTGCACCCCCATCAGACAGTGATCCCACACACCCTCACCCTCGGCCCTTCCTCCCAAGTGGTGGTGCAGTACACCGACTCGGGGGGCCACTTCGTCACCAGGGATCCCCCCAAGAAGCCCGAGAGCAGCCGGCTGCAGGCGATGCAGGCCAAGGAGGTACTGAATGGCGAGATAGAGAAGAGCCGGAGGTACGGCATTTCGCCCTCTGCCGACCTAGGTTTAATCAAAGCAGGCAATAAACCAGCTCCCCATCATTACGAGACCAGGCACGTGGTGGTCCACTCGAGCCCCGCCGAGTATGGTGTGCGGGATTCCTCAGGTGTCCGAGCCTCCGTCATGGTGGTCCCCAACAGCAGCACACCCACGGCAGACATGGAGGTGCAGCAGGCCACCAACCGCGCGACTTCTCCGCCAGCCCTCAATG